GGGAAAATTGTTAATGCTCTAGAGAGTACTGCCTCAGCTTCTTTTTCTAGTGTCATGATTGAATGCTCTAAGGCAACGAGAGAGAGAGAGAGAGAGACAGAGAGAGAGAGACAGAGAGAGAGGGGGGGTTGTTTACTCTGTTCACAATCATGGTGGGGGAGTCTGGCAACTGGCCACATTGTATTCACAATCAGTGAGTAGAGAGGAGCAAATGTTGCTGGATCTTAGGCCCCTCTCCATTTATCCAGTTAGGATCCCACCAGGGAACGGCACTGCCCACAACAGGCAGGTCCCCCCCTCCACCCCACTCCCTCCACTACTGTCTACTGCTGTTCAGAAAACTATAAATCACTGAGAGAAAATAAACAGCATCTAAGTATATGGAGAGGTAAACCATGTTCATGGATTGGGAGACTAATATTGCAAAGTGGTGTCATTTCCCCCTAATTTATAGACCCAGTGCAATTCTGATAGCTTCTTTTGTTTAGAACTTGACAAGGCAATTCTAAAGCTTAATAGGGAAACAAAAAAGGTGTGATCCAGCCAAGATAATCTTAGTAAAAAAATCAGACATGAGAGTTTACAGATAGCAAATGTCCCTGTAGCTTAGGAGGACAGTAACTGAACCAGGATGCTAGCAAGGCCCCAAAACGGAGCAACAGGCCAATGGGATGGGAACAAGGAGGGACAGGGACACGGCTCAGCAGTTAAGAGTGGGCACTGCTCCCGCAGAGGGCCTGAGTGCAGTTCCTGACCGGCCCATCTGAGTCTCACAGTGTCTCAGATCCTCCACAGGCACAGCACAGTGGGCACACATGCACACACACACACACACACACATGCACACTCACACACAGAGACACGCACGCACGTGCACACACACACACAGAGACACTCACACACGTGCACACACACACAGAGACACGCACGTGCTCACACACAGAGAGAGACACTCACACACACACAGACACTCACGCACATGCACGCACACACACAGACACGCATGTGCACACACATAGAGACACGCGCGTGCACACACACACACTCAGAAATGCATGCACTCTCTCTCTCTCTCTCTCTCTTTCTCTGTCTCAGACACTCACACACATAGTTTAAAATAAAAGCAACCCTGAGCAAAGGAGTACAGAACATAGACCAGAAACAAACCTGTGCCTGTAACAGGTGCTTGGTTTACATAGGGCTGTCACTGAAAGGCTGTGCTCCCAGCTCTAGCTAGGGAGTCAAATACCTGGTAACAGGGAAACATGGAGGCTACCTTGATGATTTGGGGGATTGCAAAGATTTCTCTCTTTCTTTTTGAGAGAGATCTCCATCTTTGCTACCGTGTGCGTGATGGCACACGGGATGGGCAATGTTTGTGGGGGTCAGGGTGCAGCTTTGTGGGGTCAGTTCTTTCTTTCCATGTTTATGTGGATTCCAGGGACCTAACTTGGGTGGTCAGACACCTGCTGAGGAGCTAGTCCTAGAAAAATTCTTAAACAGACGCAAAGAGCACTGACTCCAAGGAAAAAGTTAGATAAATCGGACGCCATAAAATTAAATAGTTCTGTCCAACCAACATACCATCTAGTATACAGAAGGCAGGTTAGCAAAAGCAAGACACTTTCAACTCAGAGCCCCCACAAAGGGCTGATAGATGTTTTGTATACAATATGGAGATTAGAATCATAGTTCACGTCATCTCCAAACCCAGGACTGATAACTTAAGAGCATCATTCCTAAGTGTTGGTAAGGATGTGGCACGTGGGGACCTCCCACAAATGGCTGGTAGGGAAGCACATTGTTGTGGTCTCATCTAACATCAATGACATTCAGCAACCCAGTAGTTCCCTTCCCAAGTAACCGCCATGTCAAATGCATTTTTCACTCTTATACTTAGACATGTGTAAACATATTCCCAGCAGCACTGTTCAGAATAGGCAAAAACAAACAAACATGAACACAAGACAAATAGAAATATAACTGCCTCCTGGTCTCCTCAGGTGCCCAAATCTGAGGATGCCTGACATCCCCCCTCCGTGTTAGCCAGTGCTCTGTTGCCATGAAGAGTCACCAGGACCATGGCAACTCTTGTAAGGAAAGCCTTTAATTAGGGCGTGCTTACGGCTTCAGAGGTTTAGTCTATTCCCAGCATGGTGGGAAGCATGGCAACGCTGAAGCAGACAAGATGTTGGAGAAGCTGGGAGTTCTGCCTTTAGATCGCAGGCAGCAGGAGAAAGAGAGACACTGGGCCTGGCTTGCACATCTGAAACCTCAAAGCCCGCCCCCAGTGACACACTTCCTCCAACAAGGCCACACCTCTTAATAGGGCCGCTCCTTGATGACCAAGCTTTCAAATCCACGAGCCTATAGTGTCCATTCCTAGTCAAACCACCACACTCCACTCCCTGGACCCCACAGGTTTATAGTCATACAGAATGCAAAAAATGCATTCAGTCCAACTTCAAAAGCCCCCACACTTTCTAACTTGTTTAAAAGTGGTGGCACATGCCATTAATCCCAGGATGTGGGAGGCAGAGACAGGCATACCTTTGTAAGTCTGAGGCCAGCCTGGTCCACAGAGTGAGTCCCAGGACACCCAAGGCTACCCTGTCTCTAAAAACAAAACAAAACAAAAAACACAACAAAAGTCCCAAGTGTCTTCTGAGACTCAAGGCAATCTCTTAACTATAACCTCCTCTAAAACAAAAATGAAAATGCAGGTGGCATACTTCCAACATACAGTGTCACAGAATATACATTACTATTCTAAAAGGGAGCACAGTGAGGAAATGCTGTACCAAAGCAAGACTAAAAACCAGCTGGGCAAACTCCAAACTCTCTTTCCATGTCTGATGTCAGAGCGCTCTTCAGATCTCCAACTCCTTTCAGATCTGTGGACTACACACTTCCCTCTCTTGGGCTGGCTCCACTCCCTGATACCGGCTCTCCTCAGTAGTACCCCATGACTCTGGCATCTCCAACATCTTGGGGTCTCCAAGGCGATCCAGCTTTACCATCACAGCTTCACACGAAGGCCTCTCTGGGCCTCCGTGCAGGGACACCACCACACATGCCTGGCCTCGGAAGCTTTCCTTAGCCACAGGGAGATTCCACAATCCCTTTCGTGAATCCTTGACACTAAAGCCAGAGCCACGTGGCCAAAGCAGCCCCAAGTACTTCTGCAGGCTGAGGCTGGAGCATCGATCCCCCGTTCGATTAACCTGCATCAGCTTTCTGTTTCTGATGGCTTCCTTCACTGCTTAATCTTTTCTTTAATTCCTTGTCACAAGTGGAAAGATTAGCTGGGGGGGGGGTCTTGTCCGGAGGTCACGCTCTTTATTCCATTCAGCATCAGGTTTTCCTTTAATCTGTGTATCTCCCTGAGCACAGAACTTAATTCTGTTATATTTCCCGGTGCCCCTTTTCGTCCCAAACTCTGCATTTTTGTGTTTTTCCCTTTCCCGGTTTGGTTCTTTTCATTATAGAAATATGTATCCTATAATTCTAATGACAGAATTTAAAATGTGTGTGTGTATGGGTGTTTTGTCTATACATACAACTGTGTATTACCTGTATGTCCAGAGTGTACAGAGGCCAGAAGAGGGCGCTGAATCACTTGGGACAATTGTTTTGAGCTGCCTTCTGGGAACCAGGAATGGAACCTTAGTCCCCTGGAAGAACAGCCAGTGCTCCCAACTGCTAAGCCATTTCCCCGCCTCCATAGAATGTTTTTAAACTAACCAAACCACCACACACACACAGAGAGAGAGAGAGAGAGTGAGAGAGAGAGAGAGAGAGAGGGAGGGAGGGAGGGAGGGAGGGAGGGAGGGGGAGGGAGGGAGGGAGGGAGGGAGAGAGAGAGAGAGAGAGAGAGAGAGAGAGAGAGAGAGAAGCAAAGGTGTGATGTGTGATGTGTGATTCCTGCAAAGGTCAGGACACTAGTGTTCTGTCTTTGTCAGAACTGTCTATCCCAAACCTACTGAGAGATAATCGGTGGACGCTTTATCCACAAACTGCACTTGGAGAATTGATAGCCTAGGATGATTCTGTTGCTGTCGTGGGGTAGGAGAAGAACGTAGGGTGGGCTTCCAGCCCCTGTCTGCAGGATGAGTGGGGCTTGTCTGTGGTCAGAACACACGGGCAGTGAGAGCATAGTGGGGCTTGTCTGTGGTCTGAACATAAGGACAGTGAGAGCATAGTGGGGCTTGTCTGTGGTCGGAACACACGGGCAGTGAGAGCATAGTGGGGCTTGTCTGTGGTCGGAACACAAGGACAGTGAGAGCATAGTGGGGCTTCTCTGTGGTCTGAACACACGGGCAGTGAGAGCATTTCAGGACTCTCTAGGCTGATTTCAATTCCACTCTACCCCTTCCTCATAGTTCCAGGTGCCTAGGATTTAGAGACCCCTCCTTCCTTAATCAAAGGACCTACAGTTAGTTGCCATGAAATTGTTCAGGCTGGCAATCAATTTGCCCACTCCAGGAAGAAAGCCCATCTCTCCCAATAAGCCATAGCTTGCTGGTACGGAATGTCATATCTGAGTTCAGGGAAACTGAGATACAGATGTGTTTCAAAGGATACACACAGCATCTGTGAGTCCCCGCATCACCCCACTGCCATTAAATTTTATTTGGAAACCAGTGTAATTACTGTAATCTTTCTTATTCCATGCATAGCACTTATCTTATTTTGAAAGCAACTCCCTGGAGAAACACTCATAAATCCTGCTGAAGTAATTATGAACTTAATGTTTGAGCTTTGCATGCAGAGATGAAAATGTTACCCTTTTATGACAAATCAGAGCACAAACAAATCCCTAAAGACTGTGCAAAAATTCAGCTCGGGTTGATTTAATGGGAATATGGGGTGAGGGTGGGGTTGTGGGAAGGGAGGGAAAGTAGCAGAACCTTAAGAAACCAAGTGAGAATTGAATCTGTAGGCTCTGTGATCCTGAGCCTACCGGCCTGTAACTTGTTTCTCCCCTGGGCTTTCTTTAGGACACCATTGCTGGGCAGCTCTGCCTACGGCACGCTACCGGGCCAGGATGGTTCCCAGGAGGCCGCAGATGGCAAAGGTTAGTTCATGATCCTTTCCCCCAGGCACAGCCCTCCAGGCCCTTTCCCCTGTGTAACTGAGGTAGACTGGTGGATGCCAAGAGTGTGTACCAGGTTATCTACAGGATGCTTTGATAAGCATCGGTACTACAATGTGATTGCCGTGACTGTGTTTATCAGCTGTTTCACATAGCTCTGTGCGTGAGCGTGTGTGTGTGTGTGTGTGTGTGTGTGTGTGTGTGTGTGAGAGAGAGAGAGAGAGAGAGAGAGAGAGAGAGACAGAGACAGAGACAGAGACAGTGTATGTGTTGGCTGTGTGTTTGTGTTAGGTGTGTGTGCACTGGGTATGTGTGCATGTGTATGAGTGAGTGGTACGTATGTGTACATGTTTGTGTGCATCTGTGCATGTGTGTGGTGCGTGCATGTGTGTTTTTGTGTGCACAATGAGCATGTATGTAGAGCCCTGGCATCTCCTCCCTTTCTGCATTTTGCATCTGTGGGGCAGGCCTATGCTGGCTGTGGGGATGGAGAGGTGCCTGTGAGTCAGGTGAGGTGCCCAGCGGATGGCAAAGCAGCTTCTGAGTGGCCTGGAGTGGGGAGCAGGACCATGGCCCTGACTGAGCTCCGGGCTCTGGCTGGCTTGAGTTCTTGCCTCTGATCTCCCTCAGCACCTAGCACTCTGATCACCCCAGGATTCCGGGTAGAGTCAGGAAGCACAGAGCCTCTTGGGTGCTATCTTGCAGGGCAGGAGGAGTCAGAGGTTCACTCACTGCCCTCTACTACCCCATGAGGAAGTGCCAGGCTGAGATCTCTCGGCTGTGAGCTCTGCTGCCTTGGCTGTGACCTGAGGCAAGTGAAATGGAGATTTCTGTCCTCTTTTATTGTCATTTAAATTTTTTATTTATTTTTATTTTATGTGCATTGGTGTTTTTCCATGGGTGTCTCTGTCCCCTGGAACTGGAATTACAGACCGTTATTAGGTGCCGTGTGGGCTAACCACTGAGCAGTCTCTCCAGCCTACTTTCTGACCTTTCAATGCATCTGCTGTTGAGTCTTTCACTTCAGTGAAGTGGTGGAAACTCCCTCTGGGCATCTGGACTCCCACAAAGGCGTTCCCATCTGTGGCTGGGATCCATGCTTTTGTGTCAAGCTTTGCGGGAATATAGTGGCAGAAAAACCCGATTCTATCGCCTTCTTGCGTTTTTCTCTTTTGCTCTCAGGTTCTTGGTTGTGGCCCACATGGCTTCCACTTGTCTAAAAACGTAAGCCCCCTCTCTCAAGGGAGCAACCGTGTTCCACTCAAGATACAGTGCTTGTAAAAGCGACAGTTACTCTAAGCGGCCTCTCCCTCCTCCATGTTAGCCCTAGAATGTTCCTTCAAGCCGGGTCTGGCCTTCGTTAGTAAAGTGTTAATACTCTGCACTGTGCTGGGTACGCTGACCTCAGATGAGAGACATCAAGGCCGGGGTCACCGGCTGTCCAGCACTTTGTTTTAGCCAGTTGATGTTAACACTAGATGCCAAAGTAAGGCATTAAATTCCAGTTAATTTCTTTTTTCTTTACATAACCGAAGAATGTCTTTCTTCATATAAAGGGCAAAAGGTTGTTCTGTGGGCTAGCTGCCTATGTGGCTTTTCAAGGGTGCAGACTTTCTTCCTCTTGGGTGCTATTATCCCTGGCACCCTAGAGTCCTTTGTCACTACCTTCAGGCAAGGATTGGGGGATAAGGAGGGCACTCAGGTCCTTTCCCTTCAGCCTGAGAACAGTCTTCCTTTCTCATGTACAATGTGAGACCAGTGAGCTCAGATATGGATTCTCGGACGGGGGTCAGCTACATCCTACCAACAGCTGCACCCTGGAGAAGGACAGCTTCCCATCCTGCTGCCAAGTCTGGCTTTGTGGAGGAAACAGATTGTCTGGCATGAAGGCCATCTCTCAGAGTCAAGTCTGGAGCATTAGTAAGACTGATAATACAATCACAAGTGATGTCTCAAGCACACCACACCATATCCTGGTATTCTGCCCATTTGGTGATCTAAGTTGTAAGGCACTAATGGGGCGAGCTGGGGGGCGGGGAGGGTTACTCAGCAGCCTTGTGGGTATTTGCCGACTGGCGGAGATGAAGGTTCCCAGTGTTTTCATTGGGTGGCTCCGCTGCTATGCTGCTTTCCTAATAAAACTTGAGGTTAGGAGAAGAGTTTGAGATGGAGTTTCAGTGTTCCTCCATGGCTTGCCGATGCACAATGATAGGAAACGTAGCCCTTTCCATTGTGGTTAATCAGGCAAGACTTTGTTCCCTTTGCTTTGAAGAGCAAACCAGCGGAAGCATAGGACCAGAACACAGGTCCAAACTCACACGGTGAGGCAAGCACTCTGCTCACATCATCATCTACATCATTGGTTCTCAACATGTGGCTCACGACCCCTTTCATAGATATCCTGCATACCAGACAATTGCGCCATGATTCATTAACAGTAGCAGAATTACAGTTATGAAGTAGCAACAAAAATAATCTTACGGTTGGGGCTTGCCACCACAGGAAGAACTGTACTAAAGGGCCAAGGAACTAGGAGAGGGTTGAGAAACACTGGTTTGTAGGAAGGCAAGTTGGTAGTGCCTCCAACCTGAGTACACAGCACAATTCCATTCCAGTCATGTGGCTGTCGGTGTCCTTTAGAACACTGGTTAAGCCAGTGACAGCCTGCGGGAAGAGGACCGTCACGCAGGTCCACAGGTGGGTGGGTGGGTGGAGGTCCAAGAGGAGGTAACATGAGCAACAATAATTGATCAATACGCAATGCGCCACTTTCGTTTCCCATCTCCTATTCAAGGTCTTAGGTAGGCCAAGCTGACCTCAGACTACATAACCAAAATCCTCCTGCTTCTGTCTCATGAGTTCTGGGATTATAGGCATGCACCCTTGTACCAAGTCATGCGGCATTGGGGATCCAACCCAGAGATCTGTGCATGCTAACCAGGTAAGCACTCTACCAGACGAGCTGCTTTTAGTGTGTGTGTGTGTGTGTGTGTGTGTGTGTGTGTGTGTAGGGGGTAATGTGTGTGTCCAGATGGAATGTGTGTGTGTGTACCCAGGTGAATGTACACGCATGTGCATGTACATATGGAGTCCAGAGGCTAAGGTCAGGTACTCTTTTCAGTCACCTGTACCTTATGGTTTGAGACAGGGTCCCCCGCTGAACCAACTCACTGATTCAGCAAGGCTGGCTGACTAGTCCTGTCTCCACCTCAGTGATAGGATCACAGGCATACACTACTATGCCACGCTTATTTTTTTTGATTTCACATACATTTCACAGGTATGAATTTTTGCATGTATGGATATCTGTGCACCAGGTATATGCAGTGCCTGCTGAGACCAGAAGAGGGCATTGGTTCCCTCGGGACTGAAGTTACTGATGTTTGTGAACTACCATGTGGGTGCCGGGGATTGAACCCTGGTCCTCTGAAGAGCAGCCAGTGCCCTTATCCACAGAGCCATCTCTCCAGGCCCCGATGCCCAGCTTTTGTGTGGATTATGGGAGCTAAACTTTATCCTTGTGCTTATCCAGCAGGCACTTTGTCAACTGAACCATCTTGCCAGCCCCCAAGATGGACTGTTCTTAAATTCAATTCATGATCATCACAGGAAAAAGGTTCTTAAACTCTTTCATTACATCCTGTCAGCAAGTTCAGTTCTGTTTACTCTGTCTACAGTGACATGGTGTTCCTTTCACATTAATATTAGTTTTCTTCCCAAGTACTGGCTTTTGAACTTGAATCTCTGGACAGAGAAGATGGCATCACATGCTTCACAGATTTTAGATCAGCGAACAGAGCAGTAGCCAATAAAGATCAAGCTTCCTGAAACCCAGTAAACAAACGACCAATAAACTTTCTCCTTAGTCTTTGCTGTATGGATTATTCTATGCCATGCCTTATCAAACAACTTCTGTCCAGCTCTGTGTCTGTCCCTGACAAATCTGTGGTAGGACGTATATCCACAGAAGACTAGTCTCTCTCACCCTTGCTGCTTCGGGAGGTGTTTGAAGATTGTTGTTAGGAAATTCTTTGTTCTCCGTGGAAAACGCAAACGTTAATATCAACAAAGTAATTTCAACTTTTACATGTATGCATACCGGAAAAGGCAACAATAAGGAAGATGGTAAATGTGAGGGAAAATAGATTTTCAGAGAAAGAACCGAGTATAAACAGATGACTTCAAGTCCATCTCAAGCTCCTGTACATTCGAGTACTGGTAGGCTGCTGCCACTACACTGCTTTGGAGGTTTCGGGCATTGAGATGTCCTGTGTGCTTGGCCTGGACCAAGGCTCGTGGCAGCATGAATGAGGTCAGACAGTACCTAGATTTTGTTTTCTTCTGTCTTACATCAATTGGCTCCTTGATGTAATACAGAAACTCTGGATTTTATTTTAACAACATGCTTGGATTTAGAGGAGGAGAGTCAAATCCAGCTCCAAAGCCAGCATTGGTTTAAGTGAATTGGGACCAAAAGAGTATTGGGAAATAAAGAGAAACAGATATAAGGACAAAGTTAAGAGAATTAGACATTGATATCAAACATAGGATTCTTCTTTGTTTAATGGTCCTTTGGGTAGCCATCCTCTCTTCTTTAGGTATCCACACGTTCAGTATCTTTTCACTGTTTGGAGATGGGTTTTCCTGTGAAGACAAGAACAAAACACTTCCCTTTCCTTTTGTGAGGTGTCCTTATACATCATAGACTATGACTTTGTGGATGAGCTGTCATATTTCCAACTCCCAAGGTTTCTCCTGTTCAGATCAAATCTTCAATTTTGATGGAATCCAAAGCTTTTCTTCTCCTGTGGAAACAAAGACAAAACCCCTTCCCCAACGTAACACATATCCTGGTTTCCAAACTGGGGTCATAAAATCCTTGAAATACACCAGCTGATTTAGTTCAGAAGTTTTTTCTGTAATCCAGTGTCTTTCTGTAGCTGCTTGTCCTTTCTCATTAACATTAAGAAAGCTTAATGTTA